GGGGGGAGGCGGTGGCCCCCGCCCCGTTGCCCCCAACCCCTTCGGATTTGCCAAAGTTGAAGAGCTTGCCGGGGTTGAATGGCTTGGTGGGCGACTGGACCTTCTCGGTGGCCGCGTCCCTCTTAGTTTCGGGGGATTTGAGGAACTTGAAGCTGAGGAAGCCGGGGAGCTTGTTCTCGCTGCCGGTGGGCGACTGGGGGGACCTGGCGGTGGCCGTGCTGCCAGCCCCAGCCCCCCCGGAGAGGAATTTGCCCTGCAAAGGGATGATCTGCTTCAACTTCATCACGTTGTTGGTGGCCAGGAGGGAGCTGGGGCGCTTGGGTTTGTCGGAGCCGTGAGAGGAGGAACCTCCGGAGCTTTTCCCTTTGCTCTGGCTCTTCTCGTGAGCCGGGTCCTGGCCGGTGGCCTCGGGTTTGGCCTCGTCGCGGTTGGACTCGCGTTCCTTGCGGGCCTGGTACTCGGCGTGACGCTGCCGCTCCTCTTCCTCCCTCTTGCGCCGCTGCTGCTGCTGGAAGTGGTGCTGCGCCTGCCGCTCGTGCTTCTGTCAACGGGGGGGGAGAGCCCATCAGACCCCCCAAGGTGGGTGTTCCCCCCCACCTCGGGGACATCCCCAGGGATGGGGACAGGGGGTCCCAAGCTCCGTGCTCGTCGTGTCCCTTTTCCCCCCCTCATCCTCCCCCCAGCCCTGAGGAGGGTCCCACCTACCTTGAAGGCCTCCCGGCGCTGGTACTCCAGCTTGGCCATCTCCTCGGCCACCCAGGCGGGGATGTCGGGGATGGCCACTTGGATGATGTACTTGAGGAAGAGGGCGAAGTGCTGTGGGGGGGGGAAAAGGGGGTGGGTCAGGCCCATCCCAGCCCCCACGGGCACCGGCACCCCCTCCCAAAATGCACCCCGCAATGATAAGGGGGACCAGGGAGACCCTACAATAACACCCTGGGGAGGTTCTGCCCCCCATTGCATGGCCTGGCATCACCCACTGCCCATGGGGGCTTCAGTGGAGGGTTTAGAGACTCCATCCATGGAGGGGAAGGTCTGCAGGAGCCCGTGGCTGTTTAAGGTGAGGTGACACCTCGTCACCCACCGGGGAGACCCCACTCTTGGCTCCGGTGGCCACCTCTCTGCTCCAGTGGCCATCTCTTGGCTCTGGTGGCCACCTTTCGGCTCTGGTGGTCACCTCTCAGCTCTGGTGGTCACCTCTCGGCTCTGGTGGCCACCTCTTGGCTCTGGTGGCCACCTTTCAGCTCCAGTGGCCACCTTTCAGCTCCGGTGGCCACCTCTCTGCTCCAGTGGCCACCTCTCTGCTCCAGTGGCCACCTCTCTGCTCCGGTGGCCACCTCTCGGCTCTGGTGGCCACCTTTCTGCTCCAGTGGCCACCTCTCGGGGGGAAGAGAGAGAGAGAAAGAGTCGCTCGCCTTGGGTTTTGTTTGGGTTTTAGTGCAATTCTGCCCATGCATTGGGGATCCAGGTGGCCGGTGGTGGCCGCTCACCCCCCCGTGTCCCTCCCGGTCGGCCGGGCTCCGGGCAGGAAAAGGTCCCGGTGCTGGGAATGGATCCTCCGGGAGCGGGAGGGAGCAGGGCACGGCCCCCGGTGCCGGCGGGCCCCGGCGATGGCTGTAGGGCAGGGGCTGTAGGCACGGGTGAATCGGGCTCCTCTCGCCGACGTCTCGGCGTCCCCTCGGTGGTGACGAGCCCGGGGTGGATCTGGCAGCACCGGGGTCCCCTCTTGTCCCCTGGGGCTGGACCGCGGCGTCTCCCCCCGTGCCGGCTCCTGTGGGACCCCAAGTTCATGGCACGGAGCCGGTTGGGGACATCTCCCACCGATGGAAACCCCTTGAGATGCTCCATCCGAGGCCGTGGATGGTCCCAACCGGCGCTGGGCTCCGGTGTCCTCGGTGCCGGATCCTCACCGGAGCTGGGGGTCAGGATGGTGGTGGGTCCTGGCTGGGGGGGGACTTGGGGGGACACGAGGGGACGCGGCAGAGGGGGACAGTGCAGAGCGTGGTGGCCCCCGATGGGCTCAACCCTCCCTGCAGCGGGGGACGGCGAGGGGAGGCGAGAGGGTGACGATGTCCCCTGGAGAGGAGGGGGGGGCAGGTAGCCCCCGCTTGCCCCCCGGACCCCCAAAAAGTCTGGTTAGAGTTTATAGCCCCCGCTCTCCTCCTCCGCCCGGCTCTCCGGCTCCTCTCGACCCCCTTCCTCCGGCGCCCCGTTGAGATGGGACTTGCTGGGGACCGGCCGCTCGCCCGTGTCCACCGAGGGGCCGGCTGGGGGTTGGGGGGAGGCGGTGGCCCCCGCCCCGTTGCCCCCAACCCCTTCGGATTTGCCAAAGTTGAAGAGCTTGCCGGGGTTGAATGGCTTGGTGGGCGACTGGACCTTCTCGGTGGCCGCGTCCCTCTTAGTTTCGGGGGATTTGAGGAACTTGAAGCTGAGGAAGCCGGGGAGCTTGTTCTCGCTGCCGGTGGGCGACTGGGGGGACCTGGCGGTGGCCGTGCTGCCAGCCCCAGCCCCCCCGGAGAGGAATTTGCCCTGCAAAGGGATGATCTGCTTCAACTTCATCACGTTGTTGGTGGCCAGGAGGGAGCTGGGGCGTTTGGGTTTGTCGGAGCTGTGAGAGGAGGAACCTCCGGAGCTTTTCCCTTTGCTCTGGCTCTTCTCGTGAGCCGGGTCCTGGCCGGTGGCCTCGGGTTTGGCCTCGTCGCGGTTGGACTCGCGTTCCTTGCGGGCCTGGTACTCGGCGTGACGCTGCCGCTCCTCTTCCTCCCTCTTGCGCCGCTGCTGCTGCTGGAAGTGGTGCTGCGCCTGCCGCTCGTGCTTCTGTCAACGGGGGGGGAGAGCCCATCAGACCCCCCAAGGTGGGTGTTCCCCCCCACCTCGGGGACATCCCCAGGGATGGGGACAGGGGGTCCCAAGCTCCGTGCTCGTCGTGTCCCTTTTCCCCCCCTCATCCTCCCCCCAGCCCTGAGGAGGGTCCCACCTACCTTGAAGGCCTCCCGGCGCTGGTACTCCAGCTTGGCCATCTCCTCGGCCACCCAGGCGGGGATGTCGGGGATGGCCACTTGGATGATGTACTTGAGGAAGAGGGCGAAGTGCTGTGGGGGGGGGAAAAGGGGGTGGGTCAGGCCCATCCCAGCCCCCACGGGCACCGGCACCCCCTCCCAAAATGCACCCCGCAATGATAAGGGGCACCAGAGAGACCCTACAATAACACCCTGAGGGGGCTTTCTGCCCCTCATTGCTTCACAGAAGGTTTTAGAGACTCCATCTGTGGAGGGGAGGGTCTGCAGGAGCCCGTGGCTGTTTGAGGTGAGATGACACCTCATCACCCACCGGGGAGACCCTACAATAACACCCTGGGGGGACTTTCTGCCCCTCGTTGCATCACAGAAGGTTTTAGAGACTCCATCCGTAGAGAGGAGGGTCTGCAGGAGCCCATGGCTGTTTGAGGTGAGGTGACACCTCATCACCCACCGGGGACACCCTACAATAACACCCTGTCACCCACCGGGGAGACCCCACAATAACCACCGGTGGGTACGAGGACCCTACCTCCAGCACCACCACGGAGATGATGGCTCCCTCGGGGCTGAGCCAGGGGAAGAGGCGCTGGAGCTGCCCACACTGGGCGATCAGGTAGCAGTTGACCACGATGGCCAGGACGCCCATGGCCTCCATCACCTTCTGCAAGAGCGACGGAGCCGGGGATGAGCCCCACCAGCTCTCGGGGACCCCCACCAGCCCCCCCATGACCCCCCAACCCACCTGCCACTGCCCGATGCTCTCGACCCGCTGGCCGAAGGGCCGCTGCAGCCCCGTGCAGAGCTTGAAGGCGTCGCTGCGGATCTCGATGACGTTGTTCACCAGGGCGCACATGGCGGCCAAGGGGAAGGCGGAGGAGAAGAGCACCACGTAACCGAACTGGATGAACATCTCCTGATAGTCCTGGAAGGTGTCCTGGGGAGGAAGAGGAGGAGGAAGAGACAGGTTGCAAGTGGGGCTGGGGGGTTACACCCTACCCCACCACCCCCCGTGCCCACCCTGGGCCCCTCACCTCGTACTTCTTCATGCAGCTCTCCACCTCCGCCTGCGTCAGCTGCGTGGAGTAGTCCTCCTCCGGCGGGTCGATCCACGACGCCCGGTTGCGCTTCCTCCCTTCCTCCTCACCTTCCTCCTCCTCCCTCCCTTCCGCCCCCCGTCTCCTCCGGCCGCCGACCCGCGGGACCACCGCCGGTTCCGCCGCCTTGACCGGGCTCCCGGGGAGGGGACCTTCGGCCTCCTCCTCATCCTCGCACAGCTCGAAGACGGATGCGGGGTCCATGCCTTTCTCCACCATGGTGGGGCTGCCTTCCTCCAGGAAGCTCTCCTCCTCGGGCCCCCCGGGCTCCCCGCCGCGCCGCTCCGCCTTCTCGATGAAGCTCACCTTCTTCAGCTTCAACCCGCAGTCCAGGGCGCTCTCCTCCTCCGAATCCGACTCCCGACGCTCTCCTTCCTCCTCCTCCTCCTCCTCTTCCTCCGGCACCCCGCAACCTCCGTTCAGACACTTCTTCTCCCCCCGCAGCCCCTCGGAGGGGTTGGGGGGCCGGCGGTGGGAGGCCAGCAGGCGGAGGACGGCGTGGGCCAGCTGGCGGAGGCTGTGGAGGTTGATGTCCCCCCGGCGCAGGCGCCGGTACAGGTGGGGCTGTGACACCTCCCTGACGTTCTGCAGGAACTGGCGGGTGATGAGCAGCGTGGCCAGCATCTGTAGAGGGGGGGGACACAACAAAAAGAGGGGGGGGGACAGCACTGTCACCCGGGGATGGAGGGGACAACACCCATGGAGGGGGATCTGTGTGTCCCTGCATCCCCATCTCCTTCCCCCATGGGGTCCCTGCTCCTCCCCGTGGTTGAGCAGGACCCCCAAGCACAGTGTCCCCCCCACAACACCTCCTGTGGGGCCTCCACATTGGTGACAATAGATGGGATGGGACCTGGGGTCACCTCTGCCAAGAGCTGCAAAGGAGCAAAGGACATAGCCTCCAAAGCAGCCTGAAAATGGAGATACACAAGGAAGAAAATCCTGCCTCGCAGAAGGGCAGTCATGTGATGATCTTCTTAGGTATCCTCCTCACTTGCTGAAAGAGTGGCTCTACTGTTCCCATAAGGTTGCCTGGATCTTGGCTGTTTGTTGCTGTTGGTTTTCCTCCTTGGGCTGGGGGGGGTCCCGGAGCACCCTCCACATACCCCCCACCCCGCCACGCACCCATATCGTTCAGCCAGTAGGCGATCTTCTTGTAAACCTCGTCGCAGGCGGTGACGATGACGGCCAGGACGATTTTGGGGAGGAACCGGATGATGCGGGGCAGCTCCTGGATGCTCAGCACGAATTCCTGCGGGGATGGGGACAGGGATGGGGACAGGGATGGGGATGGAGACAAGGTGAGCCCCACAGAGAGGACCATGGTGGTGGACCCCCCCTGGTCCTGGCAGCCCAGTGTGTTGGGGACGGGGATGGGGACAAGGTGAGCCCCACAGAGAGGACCATGGTGGTAGACCCCCCCCTGGTCCTGGCAGCCCGGTGTGTTGGGGTTGAGGACGAGGACCCACCTGGAGCTGGAAGCAGCCCAGCATGAGGAGGAAGACGAGGGAGAGGCAGGCGAGGCAGACGGGGAGGCTGACCAGGCACTGGAAGAGGAGACGCTTCCACGGTGGGTAGTAAAACTCCTCGGCGCTGGTCACGGGGCTGATTCTCTTAACGCCCTGACGAGGAGGAGGAGGAGGAAGAGGAGGAGGTGGGGTGGGGGGGGACACAGCAGCGTGTGACCCTCCCCGCGGCCAGGAGCCCCACAGCATCCCCTCCGTGACCCCAGGAGTGGAGGAACCCAACACAGACCCATCTTGGGGTGCTGGGGGTGTCATGAAGGTGCCAGTTCTCTGCTCTTAGGTTGCTCATTGGGGGACCCAAGCCCCGGGGACACCCCCCCAGGCATGGGAACACACATCCCCCCCCCCC